TCAGGGGAGGAGGCGGGGGGGGGGCAGGGGGAGTTCCCAAAATAACTGGTAAAAACCAAAAATGGATCTAAGTTTAAGAAGAGAAAGCGGCCGAAGGCTCCCTCTGGCAGGCAGAATTCTCGCGAGGTCGCGGTGGGGTGGGACCCGGCCCCCCGCAGCGGTGGGCCCGCACGCACGGCGCCCTCGGAGCCTGGCTCGTGGGACCCTGGGACCCCGCCCGGGGTGCCGCTGGCGTCTTCGTCCGCAGGCCTTCCGACGGCTTTGCTCTTGGCTCAAGGTTTATTGGTTGAGATTAGTCACCAGTTAATAAGAAAAATAGTTTCTAAGTGTCTTTTCCTCCGATCTGGGTGTGTGGTTCTGTTTTTGAGTTAACTGGACACCGCCGTCGGGTTACGTGTGCGCAACCACAGCCAGGAATCACTCCTTTTTCTTAAATTCTTGGTTTCCGTAGCTAGAGCCTTTTTCTATTTCAGTTACTCCTATTAGCCGGCGGACTCCAAAGGAAGCTTTGAAATAGGAAAGAGGCAAGGTCAGACCCATGGCTTGGCCGTCCCACGAGGGAACTCGCTACTGGGCAGGGTCCCGAGGGGATGGCAGGCCAGCCCTCTCCCCTCCCCCGGCCCCTCCCACTGCCCTGCTCAGCCCGTCTGGGGGGGAGTGATGGCCTCCGCTCCTCCAGCGACAGGAGGTGGGTGCGGGCCTGGTGGGGGCTGCACTGCCCTGTGAGGTGCCCAGGGGCAGACTGGGTGCCCGTCCCTCCGACAAGGATACCTGGGGAGTCCTGAGCGCCCACGATTCTGTTCGGGACAGTAATGACCATGTCCTCAGAGACCCTCAGACCATCAAGCCCCCCCAAGCCCCCCAAACCCGAACGCAGACAGAGTAGCTCAGGGACTCCCCACAGGCGCCTGCCAGTTCAGCAAGGATGCCACAAGAGCACGTGGCCCCGGGACCTGGCTGTGGTCTCCACGACCCTGTGGCTTAGCGACAGAGCCCGCTCTCTGAGGCCAAAAGGGCTCCAGGCGCACCCAGCTCCCTGCGGAGCTCTGCAGCCAGCGCGCAGACGATCCCCGACCCTGAGCTGTGCTATCATTCGCGTGCGTTACCTGCCCCCACAAACCCCAGGAACGTCAGGATCAGGAGGGGGGAACCACTCGCAAAGACGCCGAAGACACAGCTGAAAAGAGGAGACAGCAGGACCGTGGCCCAGAAGAGGAAATTCAGAAGCGTCCACGGCCTTCTGGCAGGTTTGAACTGCTCTCCCGGAAACACGCCCTTCTGGTTATACATCTCCTGCAACGCGTCCTGAAAGAGTCAACGACAGTGGCCGCTGTACTGACCGGTACTGACCACGGAAACGGACTCAGCCTAAAACAGTTCCGCGTAAAGAAAGCGGCGAGCCGTGAGCGCGCGGCAGATGCGGGACGGTGTGTCCTTTGCGGAGCCCCTCGGCTGCTTGTGTCAGAGCTCAAAGCCAGCCAGGCACAGGCAGTCACCTCCACCTTGACCTCATCGCCTCCTGCTACCTTCTGAAGGTGGGGCGGGTGGGGCACGGCCTTGACCTGCCTGGAGCCCAGTCGTGCACCTGCCACAACGCATCCCCCTGCCCCCAGGTCTCCCAGGGGAGGGGCTCCTCCCGTCAGGGACATCCTTTCCTGCAGGCACCTGTCTGCTTCCCCGGGGAGGGGGCATGACTCCTCTCAGGGCTGCTGGTCCCGCCCACTGCCCTGTCTAACCGGGAGGGCTCAGGCCCACCCCGTCGACACCCACCCGGGAGTGGTGGCAGGATCCTGCTTGCAGGGGTGGGGGAGGGGGAGGGAGGCGGCCAAGCCCGCCTGCTGTCCTGAGGGTGGACCTGTACAAAAGCCCGGTGCTCGCGGCCCCGCGGCACGTACACACCCGCTCCTCGCACCGTTCTGAACGGCCCCCCCCTCCCCCCCGGCGGGAAGCGTGTGCCAGTGTGCACATGCACTCGGCGTGTGGCCCTGGCCCCCATTTCAGGGGGAACGGCACTCACCCACGGCACACGGGAGCATTCAGACTCGGTCACATTGGGTCTGTCTCACTGAGACGAAATGCTGGGCCCGACCCGCCGAGGCGGCCTCTTGGAGCTGGCTCTCGGAGCTCGTGCCCTCTCCTCCCGACCCTCCCCTGCCCCGCCTGCTCCCTTCCTTGCAAACCTCTGCTCAACATGCTGGCGCTGGCGAGGATCCCAACCGCCAACGCCTGCAGACCCCTGACCTCATCCCCCTGAAGCCTGGCGGCGGAGGGGCCCCGGGGCCACGGGCCCAGAGCGCACATTCTAGGAGGGCTCGAGTGGCCAGGAGGCAGGAGCGCTGGCCTCACGGTACCACTTCCTGACCGTGCAGCAGGCGCGCAGACGGCGTGAGGGCAGGAGGCCGGGAGGCCCAGGGACGGCTCCGCCTGGCACCCGCAGCCCCGTCTCCACATCTGCAGAATGGGGAAGCCGCGGGGCACGACCTCTGTACTCCGCCGGTGAGAGCGTGGTCCGTTCCTAGGTTATGACCGGAGGTAGCCGTGTAGGGTGTCAACGTCGCTCAGAGGCTGTTTGTGGCATCGGGATCCAAGTGCTGAGTCTGGTCGCTGCAGGGGGCCAGCCGGACCCTCTACTCACACGACCCGGGGGGCAAGGGGCCTCTCACGCTCAGCGTGAACTGGGCGTCTCCTCGAAGCACAGCTTAGAAACATTTCGCAAAGTGAGTAGGCTACGCCAACGGTGACAGCTCGAGTCCGTGTCTCCAAGAAACACGCAGCACAGAGCGGGACACGACCTGACTGTCCGCAGAGAGGACAACAGGCCGTCACCCATGGCGCAATACCAGAAGAGGGCATTTAAGCGGAGTGAACTGGGGTGCCCGGCTGGCCCGGTCATTGGAGCGGGACTCCTGATCTTGGGGTCGTGAGTTAGAGCCCCACATCGGGGGTGGAATTTATTAAATTAAAAAAAAAGTTCTTTTCAAAGATCTTCTAAAAGAAAAGGAGTGAATTAAATCTACGTACGTCAACGCTGACAGACATAAAAATGATGGTGACCGGAGAAAGAAAAAACAGACAGCACGTGGTATGCGGCCCTTACTGTAAAATACATGTGACAGGAAGGACAGCCGAGCCTACCGTATTAGTATATGTCTCGATACTCGAGAAAAACATGGCAGATAATATAAAAATACCCCAAAAAGTCGCCGATGTCAAAACTTGTCGCTTGGTGCATTTGCACCAGGTGATCTGGGGAGGCACACCTGGGAGCCGGAGATGAGGCCCCCGCTCCGTCCCCTCCGGGGTCACCATGCTCCCCCCACACCGATCACACACACGCTCAACGGGCACGCGTGCGAGACGCGCTGGCAGCCTCCCGTGAGGGGCGTCATACGTCCCCCACACACCGCGGCCGGCTATCTCCGTACACCACATCCCCAAGGTGTAGCCGTGTTGATGGTCTGCAGTTCGTTCACGTGGATGGAATTTTAGTGACTGGAAGCACACACACGGGGTCCCTATTTTCCAGTAACGCGCCACCAGGTCATGGCTCATCTCGCGCTGCGCAAATGCCGTTGCTCACAAATGTCTGTGGCAAGAGTTTCAAACTCTTTGATGCGGACCTAGATTCAGGGACGCGTTCCCCGCTTCCAGCTGGCGAGTGCCAGGTCTGCCTTTCCACCGACCCGAGACACACACGCCGTACGGATTCTGCACGTAGGCTGCGTTTCTCTTCGGCAGAGCTGTGTTCTTGGAAATCCCGCGTTCCGTCTAAGTTTTCAAATGTACGGGCATTAAGTGAGAGATGCTACTGTCACCATTGTCCTCTGCTCTCTGGTCAGCTCACCTTTCTGTCTCTACTGATGCAATTACGCTTCTAACTGGTCGGTCTTGCCCGGGGATTTCTAGATCATTAATATTTTCACAGGAAAAGCATGTGGTACAGCTGATTCACTCCTGTGGCTTTGCTTTCCATCACAATGACATATGCTGTTTTTATTATTTTCTTTGTTCTATTTTGTGTGTGCTCTCTGTTTTTCTATGTGTATTCACGTATAACGTATGCACCTGCCAGAGTGTTGTGTGCAGTTGCTGTGAGGACAAAATGTGCGTAAGACATTCAGAAGAGGTTGTGATACATAGTAAGATGTGTGTCTAATGTCAACTGATGGTCATTCCCTCCCAGGGAATCGGTCTTTACTCTCTGGTTGTTCTAAGAGCTCCTGGTTGTCTTTGGTGTTCTGCAATTTCAGTGATAATTGGGGAGTGGATATCTTTTCACTTACCCTGTTCCAGACTTGTGGCTCTTGAACCTGACGAGTGCTAGAAGCTTGACGGCGGTCTTCTGACCCCTGCTCCTCACCACTCCTGTCTCTTACCCACCAGCAGTTCTTTTCTGGACCTCTCACTTTGCCCTCCGTGTTTTCTGTACTTCCTTTTATGTTTGCACTCCCTCCTGCTACCTTCCCAGGAATTTCTTCTCCATCTTCCACTTTACTAATTGTGTCTTCAGCTGTATCAAATCTGCTGTTCAATCTATTAATTAAGATTTTACTGTCAACAGCTAGATTTTTCCTGCCTACAAATTCGACTCGGTTTTTCTTAAATCTGCCTTTTTTTCTGCAGATCCTTCCCTTTTCTTTTCAGTTCCTTCTTTCCGCCCCATCGCTTCGGACGCAATGATTTTAGTCTCTGACAGTTCCACTGGCTGCAGTTTTTGGAGAGTTTACCTCTTCGGTTCTTTGTGCGCCCTGCCCACGTGGTCTGGTTATGAGCTCCTCCCCGACAGAATTTTCCCCGTGGAGATCGTGAGCAGCTGAGGTTTGGAGGAACGTCCCTCCGGTCCTGCGTGGGCTTCTCTCAGGAACTCTAGTGATTTGCCAGAACCACTTGTGTTGATATTTTGGTTCTGTTCTCCTTGAGCTGTGTTGCTAGCATAGCCGTTCGAGGGCAGACGTGTGGTTACGTGTTATCAGGGAGCCCTTGTTCAGACCAAGAGAAGGGGGAGCGTCAGAGCCATTTCCCTGCACTGGAAAGTAGGTTTCTTTCAGTTCACCGTGCGAGGGAAAACTCTCGGAGGGTCCTGAGGCCTGGATCTCAGGATCTCAGGGACCTGGCATGAGATCAAACCCTGATCTTCTGTTCCGGGTAGGCGCTAAAAATCAAGACTCCAGGTTACGGGGACTCGCAAAACCCGCTGGTGGAGCGTGGCATTCCCGGGTCACAGGCTCGCCACCTGCTTTTCAGCTCAACCTCCTTTTTTGACCCTTAGAGATTTCCCAGATTTTCTTAAGAGCTCGTCAGTGCCTTTAAAAGGGTACTTGTTGAATGCGGAAAGGACTTTCTCATTCTCTACGCCTCCCACGATGCTGAAGATGAAGATCTAACGTCCTGCCCACGTACGGAAACCAAGCTGGCAGGGCGTTCAGGGCAGGGCGTGCTACCGGGGAATGGAGAGGGAAGGACCGGGGTGGGTGGCATAAGGATAACCTCGTGTCACCTGTGGTGTGCGCGCGTGCGCACGCGCACACACACACACACACACACACACACACCCCATATATATATATATGTGGAGGCTACAGATCGATACCTTCTTTTACACGAAAAAGGAAACAAATGTGACAGAACGTTAACCAGCCGCGGTTGTAGAAGCACCGTGTTATCCTTTACACTCGTCTCCAGCGTGTTGATTTCTCACAAGAAAATGGAAAGAATAAAGAAGGCAGAAGTGTTCGAGGACTGCAGACGCCCCGCCCCCGTCTCCGGAAGGTCCCACCTGCCCTGCGAGCCGCCCCTTCGAGACCTCTTCACGAGCCCCCGGGGAGGAAAGCTGAGTGCCGTTACCTTCTCCTGGTACAGTTTGTGGAGCCACTGAGCTGCTTCCTTTTCATCCAGCGGGATCTCTTCCAGAGGGAATCTCCTGTTTTGTTAAGATCGAGAGCAAAGTGGCTCACTGTTGCATGGCATCGCACAGAAAAGGGGACATAATCGTGGCACAGCTCGGTTATTCTCTGCCCCCTCCCCCCGCCTTTTCTGGTCACGCCTCACTCTCAATTCCTAAAAACACACAAATGTCGAGGGCGTCCACCCGGGCACAGTGGAGCGCCTGGAGCCCCGCGTTGCCGCGGGGGCCCCGGAGGGAGGGCCAGGAGACCATTCACCTTCGAGGCAAAGCCAGCGACTCTCACGAGGGGTTCTCCTGGGCAGATCGTGCCCCGTTCCCACTGTGGAGGGCGGGCATTTGTGGGCTGCAGCAGGAGTTTGGGTCTTAATGGTTCGTTCTTTGGAAATAGTCAGAACTGAGAGTGGCTTCCACTAGGCCAAGAAAATTATGTATTTCACAAACGAAAGCTACGTGCTCCAAATACGAAAAGCGAGAGAGATTCAGGACTTCAATCTTCACTCACAGACAGCTGACTCCAGTGCAGACACGAACTTATTTACGAAAGTGATCAGCAGCCGCATTACCGGCTCTGGAGCCCGGGTGTCCAGCTGGGGAGGGGAACCGGGGCAAGGACAGGGACCCGCGGCAGCCGCGGCACCTGAGATCGCCAGCAGGGGGCGCCGGGGCCCACCCAGCAGGCCAGAGTAAGGGCGGCCCTGGGAGAATCTCTGTGGCTGAAGGCATCCCAACCCTGTCTCTAAGAAAATGGAGAACTTTGCTTCTGCGGATTAGACCTCCCGATCTTCCCCGTATTTGAAAGGAAAACGGCAAAGTTTTATAAGCACATGTGCTGTCAGACATGGGAGTGACGCGGGGGCCGCACGACACGCAGCCTCTGGGTGGCTCTGTGGACCCCCAAAGTTCTTGGGAACTGGTGTGCCACAGGTGAGGACATGAAGTTCAGAAGGGGGCTGTCTACAGAGGGATGGCTGCTAAGGGCTTCAAACTCACTCGACTGCCCTCCCTGGCTGTACATCCACATCCCAGAGTGGATGCCGCAGCCACGTTCTATCACAAGGTGGCCACGTGCAGTATGAAACGTATAAAATAAGGACTCAAAATGGTGCTAAAAATAAAGATAAAGACTGGCACCTATCTCCCGGCGTCGACTCAAGCCTCTTCAAGGCTTCTGCCCCAAGGGCCAGCACAGACACCGGGAGCTCGGGCCACCACCACCAAATGCCCCTGACCTTGCCCCCAGGACAACTTCACCGGGAGGGGACGGGAGGTGGGGTCAAAGGGGAAAGCCCCCTCGGGCCAGGAGAACTTTGGCTGGATTATAAGCATGTTTTACACTCGTCGGAATCCTGCTTTTATTCAAAATACCCCATGGCAAGTATCACAAAACAGGAAGTTGAAACCTTTAGAAGCTCTAAGCACATACCCATTATGAGATTAGGTAAAATATAACTCCATGCCTTCTGCAATAAAGGGCACGACGAACAGAGGAAGGAACGGGTCTCCTCCTGCTGGTGGGGGGGCGGGGGGCACCGTCCACTCGGAGAGGTAACCGGTGCGGCGGCCGTGGGCACCGGCCTGGGGCTGGACCACAGAGTTCCCCCAGCTCCTTCACCCGCCAGCTCGGACCCTGGTGGCCGAGGCGCACCCCTGACTCCCCGGGGACCGGCTAGGTGAGGGAGGACACAGAGCCCGCCACTGTTGTCACTGCCCTGGACCACGGCATGTGTTCTGGTCGGAGTCACGGCCAGGGTCAGGTCAGCCCCAGATCGGCCACGCAGTCCCTGGTGGTTCTCAAGGCCTAAGGGCAAGGATCCCGGGCTCTCTCCCCACCCCAGGATGCAACGAGGCCTTACACCTACTTCGAGCCAGTCTGCTGCAAACTTCAGAAGGAAAAAGCCTCCCGGCTTACTCTTCACATTCACAAAGTTACTCCTGGTGGGGAGACTAGGTGTTGTTTCAGACATGTACCTGCTCACGTTCTCCACACTCACCGGAGGGGGGCCTCTGACGAGGGCCAGCGTGACCGGCTAGACACCCAGCTGGTGCTGGTGGGTGTCAGACACAGGAGCTAAAGGCTCCACGGGACCCGCCCACACGCCAGGGAAGGTCCTGCCCTCCCGGGCATTTGAAGGGACGGAGGGACGGACAAGTCTCCCCAGGGATATTCGGACAGAAAGCGGAGCAGGAGGGCGCGCATGGAATCACGCTTGAGCTGGCCTCACAGTCCCCACTAAGAGCATCGGCCCCTTGAGCTGGGACAGCTCACCCTTCTGTCGAGAACAAGCCTGGTCACTGTCCAAGCTGAACCTCACTCAGCCCCTTTTAAAAAGAAGGGGTTGCTGCTCCCCCTGAGCTTCCAGAACATTCTGCCTTTACCCCCGCACCCACCCCTCCACCCTGCAGGAGGGGTGCTTGTGTCTGTCCCCACATCTGCAGTCCTGGGGAGAAGGCTGCCTCCACTGGGCGCAGGGAGGGCCCAGTGCCAGGGGCTGGGGAGGTGGGCGGGGGGCGGGGGTGGCTGCCACTGGCGGGGACCCTCCCAGCTCACCTCACGCACATGTCTGCCTCGTACTTCTTCCCGTAGAGGATCCCCAGCAAAGACGGGTTCTTGTTTCCGCGGAAATTCAGCGTGACGTCATACACGGCTGCGACTGTAGGGAGAGGTGGGGGTGAGCCCTGGGCCAGGGCCGCAGCGCACCTGCCCCTGCCCCTGCGCCCGCATCACTCCGCCCCCACATCCCTCAGCGCCCACCCCTGCACCACAGCATCGTGCCCACGCCGCACGGCACGCACGCGCAGCTCAGCACCCGCACAACCCCGAACCCGCCCCGCACAGTCCTGCGCCCCACCGCAGGCTCACCTTCCTGCCACGTGGGTACGCGGGTCGAGTGCAGTTACTGACCGTTCGTGTCCAAATTTACTGTCTGGCTGCCTCCTACATGCTCTGCTCTTTGTCCCCTCTCTTTGATCTTGCCCCCGTTGGGATTGATCAGGCACACATATGGTTCCCCTCGTAAGGTTTCCGGTTACACGCTTTCTCATCGCTTTGCTGATCCCCACTAACTAGCGTTCCATCGTGTCAGAAAGGACACGACACACGTTGACCCCACCCACTTGCGTCTGCCTGTATCTCACATGTCATTTGCGTGGCGCGGGGCAGGTCACTCTCCCGTCCTGCTGCTCGCAGAGCCCAGGGCAGGTGGCGGCCGCTTACCTGTCCCCCGGAGGCACTGGACCGCCGTGGTGAAGCCCTTGGTTCGAGGCAGCAGGTGGTACTTGAGGGCGGGCAGCCCCTTGGAGGCGGCCACCTCCATGCTGACGCGGTGCTTCTTCTCCGTGAAGCGCGTGCCCTCGCAGTACAGGAGGAACTAGGACACGAGCGAGAGCGGGGACGGAGGTTACCCCGGCGACAGGCCCCGGGGAACGTTCCCACCCACAAAGCGCGCGTCACCGAATCTGTCAAACTGACGGAACACTCTAGTGACCAGCACGTGGCATCGCTGAAAACGCCGTTCTGTTCAGGGCTGCGATCCACGCTCCAGCCACACAAAGTCCCTCACCCAACGGCTAACGGCATTTCTCTCGTTCTCAAAGAATGCAGAACGCAACTTCCCGGAAGCAGGAAGGTGTCCCTGCAGCCTTCCGCCCCCCTGAGCAGAAAACAGGCTTTCATCCCTTTGCCTTAACGTGAGGGTCAGAGATGCTGAGAGGGGAGGTGCTTCTCAAAGAACTACTCTGCCAGAGACCAGAAAGAGAGATCAGAAAGAGAAACGCCGTTCGGGCGCCTGGGGGCCCAGTTGGTCAAGCGTCCGACTCTCGTTCTCAGCTTAGGTCATGATCTCACGGTTCCGGAATTTCCGGCCCCACGTCGGGCTCTGTGCGGACGGTGCATGAGCCTACTTGGGATTCTCTCTCTCTCTCTCTCTCTCTCTCTCTGTGCCCTTCCCCTGCTCACACGAGTGCTCTCTCTCTCTCCCTGCCCCGCTCAGAGTACACGCGCACTCACACAGGTGCGCACAGGTGCTCTCTCTCTCAAAAACAA